TATATATATATATATATATATATATATATATGTATATATATATATATATATATATATATATATATATATATATATATATATATATATATATATATATATATATATATATATATATATATATATATATATATATATATATATATATATATATATATATATATATATATATATATATATATATATATATATATATATATATATATATATATATATATATATATATATATATATATATATATATATATATATATATATATATATATATATATATATATATATATATATATATATATATATATATATATATATATATATATATATATATATATATATATATATATATATATATATATATATATATATATATATATATATATATATATTATTTTACTCTTACAATAGGATAATAATTGTGGTAATAAATAAAATGAATAAAAATATTGTATTACAAACAAATTGACATTAATATAAATAAACAAATGTTCACATTTGTTGGACCGCCTGTATTCTATATTTAATGACTGTTATTCTATGAATTAGGAGTCGAAAGACATATTAAGAAATAAAAATCTTTAAAAAATAAACAACACAAGAACACATAAATAACAAAAACATATTTACAAAGTTACAAAACTTAAAAAAATTTACAACAAACAAAAGCATGAAATATTTAATAAAGGTGAAATTTCCTTCACTGACAATAAAATGACTTAAAAAATAAATAATAAAGAATCTGTCTGAATCACAGTAATGAGAATTATCTGCTTAATTGTCCTTAAAAGCCAAAATTTGTCTTAAAAACTAATGTCTTAGTCTTTAAAAAAATCCACAAAATAACACGAAGGTGACAAGTGACATGTTCCTGTGAGATCTGCTTGTGGTAATAGTTTGGTTCTGTTTGGGTCGATGAACACCCACCTGCTTGAGCGTTTTCATTGAGCCGAGAGTAGACGGAGACGTCCAGGCGAGGGATGCATCTCTCAATGGGCACCCAAGAGTAAGTTTCAGGGCACAGGAGGTCTGAAGGCCGGTACTGACCCTACGAAAACAACAAGAAGAAGAGTTGCTTAGTCTAATGCGTATGGCACACTCTTATGGAAAACACTTGAGCAGATCCTCAGTCGTCCTCTAATTGGTTTAAATATGCAAGATTTCCTGGAGTCAAGTGCGTGGCAATCTTAACCAGCCCACATGGAAACAAGTCTGAGCGGATAAAAAAGCTGCAATGTTTATATTAATGACAGTGCTCATTAAGCTTTTCACGCGTACAATCACACTGGTGTGATCAGCCTTGGCTGGTCCATGAGGTATACGATCACACCGGTGTGATTAGAATGTTCAGAGCACACGTCATCAACTGATACAATTCAAATCTGATGGTGCACACTGAGGCACAGAAAGAGGTGTGCAGCGTTTGTCATAAATCACAATTTATCCATGCTTTCAAACAAATAACATTTATTTTAACACTCAAATACACATAACTACAAGCACACATACCATTTAAGGTTTGTAAAACACATGTGGATGTCTATAGAGAAGGCAATAATATTTCATTTTCAATATACGATGCCCTTTATTCACATACGATACACACTGTTTATGCTTCTAGAATATTTCTCTTTTCCTCTCCTAGATGCACAGTAGCTTAACTTCATGCATTTTTGAAGAAAATTATGAATAAACATGACGTAAATCTAGCAGCTTTGATCTCTCCTGTGGTTATTGCTAGAAGGGATACAGCTGCGATCGGAAGTTAACGGGAAGTATTTATATTTGTATTTTATTAGCGTTTACCCTTACCTCAACCCTAAACCCAACCCTCACGGTAATGTAAAAATTGTTGTACAGTGTCACAAAAATGATGCTGTGTTTACGCGAATATCCTCAGCTGTATCCCATCTAGACTTCAGTTTATGGGGTATGGCTGAGGAAACTTACGTCAATATACTGTAACATAATTTTTGTAATGGCTTAACTAATTAGGTTAATAAGTCAAGTTAGGGTAATTAGGCAAGTCATTGTATAACAGTGGTTTGTTCTGTAGACAATAGCTCAACCTGTGGTCTGTGTGGGTCCTAATGCCCCAGTAAAAGTGAAGGTAACACTATACTGTCAGTGGGTAAACTTTTCGTGAAAGAGCAGGAGTGTAACCCCGGTGTCCTGGCCAAAGTTCCTCTATCGGCCATTACGATCATGGCCTCCCAATCATCCCCTTCCACCGAATTGGCTCTATCACTGTATCACTGTCTCTCCACTCCACCAATAGCTGGTGTGTGGTGAGCGCACTGGCGCAGTTGTCCTGTGGCTGCCGTTGCATCATC